GCTCCATAGCATAGTTTTATGACCTTGTATAGTTAAAACTTAGTTTACTGTCGTTCTACTCTTACCGTGAACAGTCGAGTTTATTTAATTTTTTTGTTCTTTCATTCTTTCATCATTCCATGTCCTTGTATAGTTTTGAATACATGTAACTCCAATTCTATTGTTTTCGACTCGTAATCTGATTGGTTGGCAAACTCGAGTATTCACGGTTAGAGTATAAAGACAGTAACTAGACTGCAATGGTACAAACAACAGCACACTGAAGAAGATCCGTGTCACGGATCCAAACCAATCTCGTACCCAATCTCGTAACTAGTTTATCTAGTCTCTACCACAATCTCGTATCCAGAGCCTTTATTTCTTAATGCGCATGCTCGACGAAATAAATAGGCTCTGGAAAACTCCAATGCCCGGAAGCAAGATTCTGACTGTTTCACACATGCGCATTATCAAATCTAAGCCGGAGATTTAGCACTACCAACTGAAGAAAAAAATGGCGGACGGTCATGTACTGAAGTCGTTATGAATACACGTTGCTCTCAATAAAATTGGCTTTTAAAATGTCATAGAGAAACAATACGGAGGTATTATTCATATAGTTGGGCTAAAACGATTATTTAAAACCAACCAACTGAACAACGAACAAGCTGAGAGAGTATTGTTATGAATGAGGCAACTGATTTGATTATTGAACTAAGATCAAATGTTCAGAGAAAATACCTTGACAACGAGTTGAGTAAATCCGCTCACTTCGGTCATCGCATCGTCGTCAAACTCAATCTAAACATAAATAAAAGAACTGAAACAATGTTCGAGCGAGAGGAGGAGTAGAGGGTATGAGGGGTAGGGTGGGAGAGGTAGAGGGCAGGGGTAAGGTGCGGAGGAGGGTCAAGGTAGAGAGGTAGAGAGTAGAGGACAGAAGATAAAGTGGGGAGGAGGGTAGGGGAGAGGGGTGGGTAGAGATTGGGGGACGTGGATAAGGTGGGAATAGAGGTAGGGGAGAGAGAAGAGAGTAGGGATGGAGGTAAGGTGGATAGGGGGTATGAAAGAGGGGTAGAGAGTAGGGGGCAGGAGATAAGGTCTAGAGAGGAGAGAGTAGAGGTAGGGATAARATGGARAGGGGGTATTTGAGAGGGGTAGATAGAAGGGGGCTGGGAGAGAGGGCCGGGATAAGGAAGGTAGGAGGAGAAGGCAGGCTGGAAGGACACACGTTTTTCATACAACATAAAAACAAACATTATTACCTCTACTCCATAGTACTTCTGATCAGTTTGTTTGATGTTCGTCAGTTCAAAGCTGACCCTTCCTGTCGACAAGTCTCCAGCCCATCTCACTCGTCCTCTGTATTGTTTCACCTTCTCCTTTCCACTCGTGTAAATGGAAATTTCGCTGCCATTTCGAACAATAGACATTATAGGGATGTCCAAAATATTGTACTTTGTATCCCAATTTCCAAAGTAGAGAGTATTGAATGAGTGGTTGGAGAGTTTCCAGGTAAAGTTAACTGTTTCTTCCTGGTATGTTACCATCAGTTTGTCTGGTTCTGATGTGAAATGCGGTTCGATACCTTGCACTGGAAATGAAAAAAAGATCAGCTATTTAGCCATAGATTTCTTTTTCGTTTTTTTTTTCCTGTCCTTCTCTCCCTTCTTTTCTTTACTTTCATTTATTTCCATTTATTTCTATTCATTTCGTTTTATTTTCATTTAT